ATGGCCTCCGCACTGCCTCTGCCCACAGTTAACCTCAAGAGAACCCTCACCCCGGATTGTCATGCCCCCCCTCCACCCTTTCTTACCGCGAACCAGTTTTTACAGGTTCTATAAAATTCTGTCTACACAAATTCTCCGCAATCCTTTCATATCACACACATACCCTGCTGAAGAACTTCTATGCACCGCCACACCTGGCTCCGCCCCCGACGCCGCCCTTTCACTAAAGTAATTATTTAGAAAATAGAAACGAAAAAAAGTCATAACAGTGACAAGACTTTCCTTCCAACCTATATGACGAAATTTATAGAAACCTACGGCGTTGCAGGGCCAGATTCACTGACAGTAGCCGCTGACTGATCATGGTCCTTCGAAGACGAACATGCCATTGGAGAAGACATTTTCTGAACAGTCACCGCTGTGAATAAATAAATTAATTGAATTCGTAATTAATTGAATTTTCTTTTCAGAATACAAAAATGAAGAAGAAAAAATAGCACTAATACTCCACCACAAAAGCAAAACAAAATTCAGGCGCAGTTCGGCGACGGGGGTGGGCGGGGGAGGGCATTTTGCTTCCCATCGATGTGTCGACCCATCTAGATAGCCTTTTCTTGAGTTGACACGTTTTACCATGGTGGCTAGACGAGCTTGCTCCAGCTTCACAAGAGTTCACAAGTTTCACCAGAGTGAGACTTGTAAACCGGAAGTAGTGAAGCAGTGAAAGTGCAAAATGCCCCCCCGTCGCCGAACTGCGCCCAAAATTCATTCCAGGGGTAATCTTCATCATCATAAGCAACTTCCTAACATTTGCCCCTCAACTCGTGAATGTCGCTCTCAAGGAACTTCTAATATGGGCCGGGCCGAAGGAGCGGGGGAATCCTCAACTTTCAAATTTTTTTCCCAACAGGGCCACTACAAACGAAAACAAGATGGAGCTCAATCAGGACTATTAAGAACGCGGAAAACTGCTCAGCCACCCAAATCGCCTACCTTCTGGTGAAAGACCCTTGAAACCGACGACGGGCTCTAGCCACATCACTAACCCAATACGCCACCCCGTTTCTTTCCCTCTTCGCTCAGTGGCACAGACTTGAATAGCAGTCGTCTTCTTTTTGCCACCCCGCAGAGGATGTACCGAAGGCAATGCCTCGCTCATTGCCCCGTACCACATCCAGAATGAGCCACTTTCGGGGCAAGAAAATGCTTGATAGCGACACCACTTCATCGTGACGGAGGCGAAGCTCGGCCACTGCCTCGTATCAAACCTAACATTCAGTTCTCAGTACCTCGTAAAATTCCTATTCTGGATTATGAGAGTCAGGTGATAAGTAAAAATAGCTGATTTCGTTACGATACGAGAAAAGGAAAGTTCATCGAAAGCAGGAAAACAGGAGGGGTACAGTACCCAAAGCTTGCGTCCGTAGAACCAGTGGGTGCACCACACAGCACGCCTCAGTTTACGGCTAAGCAGCACCTGGCTACAGGGGGAGGGGTGGGCGATTCTGTTGTGAGCGAGACAGGTCACGCCACTCACGTCGCGCCCGGCGAATGGTGCAACAATTTTACAGTTGCATTACCGTATCCATGAGTGGTTACTGGAGCAAAAAATTCGCGTTAGTTCACGGCGTCCTTGATCAATTCCATTCTGGATCGTCTGTCCATGATCCCTTTGAAGATTTGAACGAGCCACTAGGCAGTACAACTTACGCTGAGGCTGCGGCGTCGCCATGCCCACCAGCGCGACGACCTAGCAGTGGGGTATGTGGCAAGAGAATCGTAATTCGCCGCGCCAGTGGGCGTCGCGTGCGACGTCGCGCCCGCTAATGACGACGATTTCAGGTGGTATTAGGCGCGAACCAACTGACCAAAAATAGACATACGTGTTTACCATGTCCTTGTCTACATGAAATCCGATGCTTCAATCGAAAGGTTAGCAAATTGAGGAAACGTCGCGCCCAGTGCTGCGCGCGGCAAAGCGGGAATTTACGATTCTCTTGACCGTCTCTCTTGGCGGTGTCCTACGGCTGAATCGCCACACACCCGGCTATAGGTGGAGAGAGGAATTGGTGTCGCTATCATTTCCTAGCCTCACCCCGAGCTTTTCATCAAACTGTCACGACAAAATCGAATTCCAATAAATAAAAAAAGTGGTGCTGAATATGAAATTTTTGGGAACAGCATTTCCCGTCCAACCTCAAAGAATCAACAAACAGGAGCTGAAACTCCGTATGCAATGAGAGCTCAAAAGCCTAGCAGCACACATCACGATAGGGTTTCAAAGGTTTCAACTGTTCCTGACCACATGACATACAAGGTGTGTCATGCGATCTACTTCATGTTTTTAAGTTATCAGAACACCTTTTCATACATAAAATACATATATCTCGTAGAGAAAGCGTAATAAACAGGATGATATAACTGATTTTCGATTAAAAAAGCGAATAAATCTGTGGAGCTTCTTGCAGAGCGGCGGTGCGCCTTATATTAAAAGACGTTCTATGACAGCAATTTTCAATAATATTCTGATAAAAGAAAGGAAAAAGCAGAAATTAGCGCTCCGGGTGCACTTCTACGTGGTTATTCAAGCGGTTCGCGAAGCGCAAGGCATTCACCAAAAAAATCCAACGCATGAATTACAAGGCTACTGGAAATATGAGGCCATTAACCTTGACGTTGTCTTTCACGTTGAACAAAGAACAAAAAACCCTAATTGCTTTGCAGAGTTGAAAAAGAAAACAGAACAAAAACAACTTGCAAAGAAAGGACGCAGTAAAATTGCAGCAGCAACAGTGCAGCAAATACAAGGTCACGGGAAACAAGTTTGGAAAGAAGAATAAAAACGCTTGCTCTCGCGAAGTGGCAGATTTCAGTCTGAAAAATTACAAAACCAACGTATACAAACAGCAAAGTCCAAAGCAAGCATAGCACAAATATGCTTTGCAAATCTAGCAATTTGCTAATGGAGTTGTTGGCCAGTAGTGGGAATTGCATTGGAAAATATGAAGAATATTTGAAGAAAAAAGATAGATGGAGCAGAAAAATTGGCACTAACGTGGTTGGGAGGACCCGAATCCTTTTCCCAAAAAGGCCTACGCTTAGGCTACGTTTATACTTTGCGACTAAGGAGATTCGTCTATTTGAGAGATTCGGCGATTCGAAAGATTACGCGACAAGGAAATGTTCGATCTAGCCTCGCGAGATCGGAGATGGCGCCGAATAATCGCATCTCCATATCGCATGCGACCACAAGCAATAGGTACCCATCCATTCGGCGCGCAACCGTCCAAAACGCCAAGTTGCCCGAAACGCCAGGTTCCTCAGGCCCTATCGCTAAATCTTCCGGAACGCCAATTCACCGAATTTCCGCACTCGCTAGCCACCGGTGATCGATACCCGGCCACTTCTTTAACGCACAGTCACTCGAAATACCGAGTCACCCAGAACGCCGGATCGCATAATCTCTCAAAACACTGGATGCCTCAATCTTCTAAAAGTCCGGTCGCCTAATATCCCAGAACGCCAAATCGCTAAATCTCTGCAATCGCTTGCAACGGTGCGATCGATATACATCCACTTCTTTAACGCGAAATCGCTCGAAAAGCTGGGAAGCCGATTCTTGGCGATCACCAAATGGATACCTATACTTTCCTCGTCTCTCCTCAGCCGCTAAGCATCGACACAGCTTTAGAGCGCCGGCGACCAGCACTTCGTCGACGGATAGTCTCATAAAGAAGAAATAGTATCCACAGGCCTAAACCTCTATTAGAGGAATGGTCACGGAGAAGCTAGTAAGTGGTCCCTCCAACGAACATTAGCGCCGGGAAGCTCTTAAAAAACATAAGAAAGCTGAGGGGAGAAAAAAAACGCTTACTTCTGTTTCCTGCTGTATTTTCTTCGCCGGATAAGTGCTATTTAAATTTGCTGGAGGATATGCAGCGGTTGAGGCTCTTGGCTAAAGTGCACAACATATGAGAAGGTCACATTTCCAGCAAAAATAGAAACAAAAAGAACAAAAGATATAAATGTGCTTCTTTGCATGAAACAAATATCAACTACATAACTCTGCAAAATCTTAGAGTGCGACATTTCAGCTGAGCTAAACACAAATGTCAACTTTTTATAAGGTAATCCACAAGATCCACTGAGTAACGATAAAGTTTAGTGCATGAGGAACTGAGTGGAAACGAAAAGGGCGCGATGCTCACTTCCGCGGCGCAAATTTTCCAGGAAAACATCAGAAGAATTTGAAACCCCCAAATTCATTCCTGGAAACATGGCATACGAGTGCTTCCTCATATCAGGCTTGTTAGAACGAAACCGTTAATAGAACAGTGTTTGGACCAAAATAGATTAGAATTACTTCTTCCCATCGAATTTTGGGGTAGTGCTGCAAACAGCCTGAACGACAGAGCCCATGCTATCCAGGCGGTTTGCAAAAAGCTAAGCGATCCGCTTGATGTCGGGGTGAACCACGATTTTTCGAAAGACATAGCTCCGGATTGAAGACAAATCATGCTATTGCATATTGTGGAGTGATAGTGGCGTCCAGCTAGACGACACATAGTCGCAGAAGGACTCTCAGGAAAGAGAGCAAAAAAATCATGGAAAAATTATCAATTGTTGGATGAAAGTTATTAAAAAAATCAAGAAAAAACGCCTTGAGGATCCCCTGACAGCCTCACGGTACAAATTCTTCCGACCTGTTCGTTTTATGTCAGCAAAGGGACAAGGGGATACCCTGGAACCCCTGGCTCACCAGGAGTTTCTTCGCGCCATCCAATGCTTACACCATCTCACAAAAAAAAGCGGGAAAAGCTGTGTAAAAACTGTACTCGTGACAGAAATTGCCTTTGAAGTTCGGTGGGCGGGAAAATTAGACAGGCGTCAGAACTACCACCTCAGTCATCAGAACCGGAGGGGGGGGGGGCTGCAGCTCCTTTCTCACCTACTGCGGACCAGACTCTTGAACAGGGAAGGACGCCTACGATTGTTTGAGCGCGGGACTTGTCTTCGAGCCGCGTTCGTACCTTGCGATGCTTTTTAATTCGATTGAAGCAAATCCCATCAGGGGGGGGGGCAGGGTTGCATTTGCGTTTCGAAGAAAATTTTTTCCGAGCCGTGAGAAATTTTTGCCGGTTGACTTTTCTTTGTTCATGCCCCATTCCATGTTGCGCTCAACCCTCGTCCTCCCCATTTTTTTCCGTTGCCAGCACGCAAAATTACCATACAACTACTATTTCTGACAAGTGCAAGATTTACCATTCCTAGGAAGCAGACTTACCTGAAGCTGTGTGTAAGTATGTACTTGTGATGAAGAATCTCCAACGACCAAAGGCCGTTGAGAATTTGGCGGATATCCCATACCACCATTATGTCGAGCCTGATTTGGAGGAAGTCCAGGCAAACGATGAGATGGGTAACTTTGAAAAGGATTGTGGTTGCCTGCACCAAAACGACAATTTCCCATAGATTTGTTGCTGTTCCTGCAAAACAAATGTGATTTTCGAAGAAGACAATGACATAAGGAAGTGTTACCAGCACCTCTCGGTTATAGGAGACTGGCGCATAGTGGTTTGATCCGGTAACGTAGAACCCACTGAATGACTTGGATCGATCGAAATCATCATCAGGAGGCAAAGGTGCATCAGCTATCCAACGCGTTATCATGGCAAATAGAATGTCGCATCTGCTACTGTGAGATCTCTTTGATTGGGCTTCTGGGTCCAAGCTGCCGGCTGGGTCTCGCTTGACAAGGAAAACTCTATAGTCACTTGCATACAACGCTGAAGCTGACGGAAACAAAAAAGAAGGAGTGAAGGATGGGCCAGATATCATATCAAGCTCGAAAACAAATTAATGTCCACCAAATCACACTAATTGTTAGAGGAGTGCCCTTTTTATTTAGGTCAAACAAGCTCGGGAAGTTGGGAGCCGTCAGACAAAGGAGTGGAAACGATTAGCTGAGGAGGGTAGCGGTTAATGCGCAGGCGTGAAGTATCGTGGTCGAAGGCTGCAAAGGTCTTCTGGCGCACACCACTGCAAGTCATTTCACTAAAGAAGGTGGTAACAACGCCCACTTCCCCACCCCCACCGCCTCTCCCAACATGCGGTGCTACACGCAGCCGTTTTACGGATCTTTTTAGGTGGATGTCAGAAAAATCTTTGAAACTAGTAATGTCGCATACTCACTTGGCAAAAACGAAAAATCCTCTTCTGGGGAGGACGACATGGGAGAACAGTAGATAAGGGCGAATGAGAGAAGGAGAAGGAGATATGTATCATCTACAAAAATCCGCCATTTGGGGAGCAGGCGACCACGATGTAAGGGGCGAGGGGGGGGGGGGTTCGGTTAGCGTTTCCGGAGAATTCCGAAAACCCAGTCCCGGGAAGTCGACATTTATTCCCTCGTCGCAGATCCTCAACATTCGCAAAGCATGAACGCGACATTAAAAACATGACGCTCACCTCTGAGACTGATCCTATACCTGGGATGCGGACAGGTTCAAAGCCGCAGAGTGGTATCACTTTCGTCACATGAATGTGCGGGCGATGGCCGCATATTTTTTACGTCTCGAACTTCCCGCAATGAACGACACGCAACACGCCGCACGATCAGCCATCCGTCTAGCCGTAACAAGACGCATCATGTTTCTGCGCATCTCACATCTTGTACAGCACACTGACTTGGGCAACGCGCCAACACTTTTGATGCAGGATGTTGATCTCACATCAAATGTATCGATCGTGCGGCGTGTTGCGTTGCAAATAGCGGGCGGAGACATAAAAGAACATCCAGCAAAACACTGAAGCTCTACACTGTAAAGTATTTCCGAGTGGCCAAAGCGATAGAGCGCGTTCATACTTCGAGATCTAATCGTTCGTATCGCGCGAATGGATCGCGAAGTGTGAACGGGTGCTCATCCCCTCCAACAGCTACACATCTGCCCATGGATCCATGTCGAGCAGAAGCCTCATAGGTAAGCATACCGCAGGTAGCGTGTCCTCGAATATGTAACCAGTCTTACCTGCATTCGATGAGAAAAGTATTTGATCGAGGCGGCTTTCGTCCATCTGACCATCATGCACTATTTGATCTATCAATCCACCCATACCCAGGAAAGCATCGGAATCCGTTGGATGTTTGACGTGTTGCATACTGGCACCTGCAATCTTCAAGATCATAAGTTACTAACATTTATTTTCATAGAGCTTCAAATCGAATTTTCGCACAATCCTCTTTTGAACGAAGTGGAGGGGGGGCATTGCTCATGTCACCTACTATGACTGTAACAAGCCGTTCACCTGCCAATGCTAACGAACGAATTTCGCGGACATTTTCCAGGGGATGGTGACATAGAAGGTATGCAATAGGCCACTATCAACTTCTGCGCTCTCTGAACTCAGAAGAGCGAGTACTGACGACATTTAGGAATAAATGTGTTGCTATGAGGCAAAATGACCATAGGGCCTTCTCCGCCGGACCGAGGGGCTGCTCTGACGTCAGGGAGAGGGGGAGTGGCCGGGAGATAGCGGCAGCGTCACACTGTTTCTCGGGCACAATCTGGTGAAGGAAGCAGCGAACCAACGAGTGGTGAAATAGCTGGTGCAGCGTTAAATCCAGCCCCCTGACACACCCCAGCGTCTGCAGTGGACAAGACTGCATGTATCTGATCACAGTTCAAATAACAGAAGTCTTCAATTTTGCTGCTTTCTTCACCTTTAACATTCAAAAACACTGGACAATAACATGTTGACAATTGCCCAAAACCTCAATATCCAATTATAGTCGGCAAATCCAAAGTATTTACGTAACCACGCCCTCTCCATTCCAGGGGTATGGAGTACAGCATCCATCTGATAGGTGCAAGCGCTTGGAAACTTTCTTATAAATAACAGAACTGAATAAAAAGCAATCCTCGTAGGCAGGTGAATCAATACGCATACGATGGAAAAACAACAGCCGACTGGCCTTGCTGACGTTAAAAAGAATTGTTTTCCAAACAAAAAGAGATGCCTGGCAAAACATAGGAAAACCAACAGAATGGGAATGGGAACACTGAGTCATACTCTCAGAAGTCCCGCAAATACGCAGTGCACCTTTCCAGTTAGAGGCAGCTTGGCACGATGATTTGGTGCTCGGCCTAAAATGCTAGTAGGGCGCTATATAGTGGGGAAATGGCGAAAGAACGGAGTGAAACGGTCAAAATCCTGCGAAGAAAGAGCCTCCGTTCTCACTGTGTTAGTAAACAATTTTGGACGAGTTTCCCGTAGGCATCTTGCCAATAACCGCTACCGAAGTACGGTTGCATATATGTACTCATATATCCATGCAGCATCACGGCCGCTTGGCGCTGTTTATCGACGGGGGGGGCATTTTGTATTATAATTGCTTCCCTGTTCCGGTTTACAAATCTCACTCTGGTAAAACTTGTGAACACGCTTGTGAAGCTGGAGCAAGATCGTCTAGCCACCATCCTAAACAAACGTGTCATCCTGCGAAAAAAAGGGGTACCTAGATGGGCTGGCAAATCTATGAAAGAGGCAGAATGCGCCCGACCCCTCCTCGTGAATAACAGCGCCCGCCGCTTTCCTACCAATCCCTTCGGCTTCGATAATTTGGCTTCAGCAAATGAACTGCAGTTCGAGCGTCAGAAACGGACCGTCCATTTGTAGGCGGGCGTGCGTGGCGGGCGTTCCGGTCGGAATGTTGTGGCTTGATAGGGCCCTTATAAGGGCAACATTCCGACCGTTAATCTTCTTGGAAAAAGCATTGTGGCAGCGCTGCTCAGCGGACGGCAGAACTCCGTCCCTGCCAGGCGTATTATCCTCTGGAGGATTATCGGTGGCAGAGCTGCCTCCAACCATTCCAGTGCTTCTGCCGCTCCCCCTCCCCTCGTCGCCGCGCCTCGCCTTCGCCCAGTATTCCTCACGAAAGCCTCGGAATTCTTCACGATTGGTCGCACGGGCAAGAAGGAATCTTTCCGACAGTTGATTTTCAATGGTTGCTTCTTGCGCCTCTGTTAGAGGGTGCTAAGGATGGCGAGAGAGTATAGGATTCTCCACGCTTTTCCGTTTTAGTTCGGTCGTTCGATGAGTGTGGCACGCGCTGGTGTGATACGCCTGGCTCCTTTGGCTCTTTGCATGTCGATTTATTTGTACTGGTTCAGCGTATCAAATGTCCGAATAGCAAGGTAGCTGTTCAGCCGTTGGAAAGCACTTATCGATAGCCCACTTATGGTATTACAACACTTGGAACAAAACAGAACAGCCATTAGAGTGCGCAAGACATATATGATCTCCCTTATAAAAAAAGACTCAGGGACAACTGCCATTAGTATGGAATCATACGCAGGCGTTTCTATTATGTGCCTAATCGGAAGGTGTGTCGTGAATCAGTATTCCCATACAGCAGCCGCGAATGCAAGGCCTGCATCTTCAACGGTATACTCCCCTAGGATTTCGTTAGCACTCACCATCCAGAAGTTCCCGAATGCAGGGCGACCCCACTCGTGCGCAGAGAGCGGGGATTCGCAAATTTGGGCTCGAAAAGAAATGTTCCCGAGTAGTGAGAAATGTCCTATCTGGTTGTATACTATTTAGTTTCCCTTTTCTGTCGGATCGCTTGATAGACCACTGCCACTCATCCCTTAGTTGCCCCTCCCTCCCTCATGACTCCCCTGGTTGCCGGCGCCATGGCCTACCGCTAAAACTACTATTTCTGATAATTGAAATCATTAGTCGTTTGGTGACGATCTTTCTCACTCAGAGAGGCTTGAGGAGATCTTTTGGTGAGAAACCAGAAATTTTTTTCTTGAAAACTGGAAAAAGTTACAGGAAGTTCGGAAAACTAGGGAAAATGGTAGGAGGATAGATAAAAGTACCAGCAGGCAAAACAAAAGAAAAAAAAACAATAAAAGCTAATAGTACCCCAAAAAACTCGTAAAAAAGATCCGCTCGTTTCAAGGCCATCTACAGCCAGGTGCTGTCTAGACGAAAACTGCGCGGCATTTTGTGCCTTCGGCGCACTATTTTACGCGCAGTTAGGATGTCTGTCAGCCCATCTCCTCCTAAACTTATAGGTTAGAGGTGACCGCCTCCATTTTTTCTCTACCAAAAAACCGCTACAAAACACTGCACACCTTTGATGCCTTGAGGAATAGACACTCTACCTCGGCGCTCGTACGTAACAGTGGCAAAGGCGCCACAACTGATAATACTTATGAGTTTTCTTCAAATTGAGATAAACTTTACATATACGGTCATTTAGTGTCCTAGTCACATAATAACCCACTACGATAAGTTTTACGATGAATTTTTAGAGAGCCGATATTGGCAGAGGTCTCTAGTCGTCCTGCGCTCATCGGCTGAGGCCTAGGCAAGGTGAGGGGTAGATTTCTGTTCTTCCCTTCAGCCATAAGCAGGAGCGGCTCAAGGCCCGAATGAAGCATTTAACACAAAAACTACTCCTTGTGAGACATATGAGGCTCAGGGATATTTCAATTATATCGTAACAAAAAACTACTCTGTAACCTGAAGAAGAGAAACTAGTTTTTATCTCACCTCGAATGTGAGGAATTTGGTCGAGTTAGGTCTAATCTTCTCACGACTGTGCCACGAACAGCGTCTTCGCGCAGAGATACCTGTCACAACAACTTCGCTCTAACTCTATGACTATAGAACAGAACGCGGAAATAGCTGAGAAATGGGGACAACATAATCGTATCGATTCATGCATGAATGCAGACGTCTCCGTTAATTACATCCTCAAACTGCTAAACTGCTGACTGCTCTAATTGCGTACTGTTCAACCAACGATAAAAAGTTTTTGCTGACATTGAAACTCAAAAAAAACTAACGAAAAAGCAATAAAGTTGTAAGTAAAAATAGAGTTTCGCTTGGTAAAAAAAAATGTCCTAGCGTCAGTCTAGTGGGAGGAAGGCCATTAGCTTGAAGTATACAGGGTCACATCATTGGTTGGGGATTTTAGTCGTATCTGTACGACCCCCTTTCCCTCCCTTTTTTGGAGGTTGGTACGACCCCCCTCTCCGGTAGTATAGTACGCATGGAAAATCACCAAAAGTCAACCACCACTCCTACAACGCCAAAACGTAAATACGACCCCCCCTTTACAACGTCCGTGAAGCGAGAAAAATCAACTATCAAAATAAATTTTTCCCAGCCCAAATACGACCCCCTCCTGGCGGCCAAATACGACCCCCCCCCTATTGGGGATTCCCAACAACATTGTGCCCTGAGAGTACAGCGCCGTTGAACGGTTCGACTTGTTGAGCTACAAAACAATGGCATCGCGCCAAAGACCACTACAAACATTCTTCTCTAATTATGAACGTGTGCGGAAAAAGCAATATCCACCTAACTCAGGGGTGTTTTCCTGATCCATATCTATGTTTTCCTTTCTCCCAAAACGCCGGCTTCAAAAGATCGCTTTGACCATAAGTTTAAAGCCTTGAGTCTGAGGCTGCGTCCATACTTTGCGTCGGCGTACGCCAGCGTTTTCTCCAAAAAGCCCGCAGAAACGCTCAAAACGCTGACGCTATGTTCAAAACGCTAGATCGATACCTATACTTTCCTAGTGGTTGGCGCACGCTCAAAGGACTCAAAAAGCCGGCGGGTAAGGTGCAAAGATGCAAGGTATGAACGCAGCCTCATAATTCGTGATTCGAGCGGTCCAGCCACGTGAGTGCGACTGAGCGCACTGCAAAGCTCATTGTTGGCTCATTACGAGGGAAGAAAAAGCTAGGTTTTGAATGTGATTGGGCACTATTGAACTATTCCTACCCCAGTCTGCCGAAATCAGGCCGGTTTTCTACCGACTTTTTTCTACAAGGGCAGATTTGGTTGAAAATTTGCTTACAGGGGTACTTCGACCTCCTGAACATGAATATCACATCCGCTTCGCCCAAAACTGCCTGGCGCCCGCGTCAAAATACCCTAGACCACCAAATTCGCTGAAAACTTGTCCCTAGGGGTAGTTTGACCCCCTGAACACGAATGTCACATCTGCTTCGGCTGAAACCGCCGGGGTTAATATGACATCCGACACGAAATATGACATCTTATATACTTGGCGCGGCGTAACGTATGGACACTATGGTATCTAACAACTTGCTGAGATTGAGCTGGCCTGAAGGAAATCGCTCATTTTCTTAGTTTCAGCCTCAGCAGAACGCTAAATAGCGCTGGTATGGGGAAATGAATGCCATACTGGTGATCAGGGTATCGAACAACCCTATTACACAAGTTTTTATCGGTTTTTGGAAAAAAGGTTATGGCGCCAAATTGGCGCCAGCGCCAGAAATGAATGTCATATTCGTGATCAGGACATCGAATAACATCTATAGACAAAGAAATTTTTTTCAAGTTTTTGGGGTAAGAATTATTCATGTCCGTGATTGAATTCGCAATTGCAGCCGTTCAACAATTAGCAGTGGACCGTGGTTGGTCACAGAGTGAATGTGGCGTAAGTGTGAAAAAGCGCGTCAAATAAAGTGTTAAGTCACGGCTGGGAGGCCAAGTTCAGACTTCGCGATCGCGATGTTACGACGTAGTTGAACAGACCACACAGAACTACACGTAATCTTCACCATAATGGACGCTTAATGCTTAAAAAGCAGACGCCCACGTTATTTGTTTGTTCTCATCCTCCACGCCCTCTCTGGATCTAGTAGCTCCCCCTATGAGGATGGTGGACGTGCATGTTCCGCAACCCAAAAATGCGACGGAACAGCGGCGTCCGCCCGCAAAGAGCCTACGGTTCCGCCCACCTGCCGACCACGCCACCCAACTTCATTTCTAATGGTTGCCTGATGGTGCGGTTGTTCCATTGCTGCGTCTCTCCACGTGGAGTAGTGAGAGTGAGGTGATAAGGGAAAACAGCTGATATGAACAAGTGGAGACTCGTGCAATCACTCCTTCTCTTCGCCTTGAGCACGTACAGCCGTTTGTTCGGTATGAGACTCCTTTCTAAGGCATTCTTGCGTGTTTTCTGGTTCGATTTTCCTTCACTTAGTAGGCTTCTTGCTTAGCCTCGCTCCGTTACTGACCTGAGCGGCATACTATTTAAATTTGAACGCGGCGCTTCTATTAAAAACCAAGAGTAAGTGTTGGTTCATACCGAAGACTATTACGTAATGCATGTTTTTATGCTTGTGACCATATGCTTCCATTTCTGAAGAAGGCAAAATGCAAATGAATCGTGCAACGGGCAAATAGAAGGCATCACGCAAAAGCAGCTCCACTCCTGCTCTATCATTCTGAATGGCGAGCGTTCATTGGCAACAAGAAATTAACGTGACATGAATACAACGAGGATAAGAAGAAAATGTTTGGGTGCAAGTAGTTCGAGCGGTGCACGCGACGAATCGCGCGTTTCCGGCTCCTCTGTGAGGGTGCGTTCATACTTGAATGGCTCGCACGACCACGACCAGGGCGCTCCACCGCCAATAGTTGGACCGCAGCGACGTCTACTTCGATTAGATTTGGAATAAAAAGACGTTTGTATTCTTTTTCGCGTTAACCATAACGAATGCAAATCAACAAGAGAAGACCTCTGCCATAAAGGATTTCATGTCACTCACACAGAAGCACAAGTGGGATATATCGATTACATTAATTATTATCATCAAATTTGCGTCACAAAAAGAGAGACAAGTGAGAATTAGCGCAGTTCGGCGACGGGGAGGGGGAGGGTGGCATTATGCATCAGCTTCACAAGTCTTCGCAAGTTTCATAAGAGTTAGACTCGTACACCGGAGCTAGTGAAGCAGCGAAGGTGCGAAATGCCCCTTGCGTCGCCGAGTCGCCCAACGGTTGTCAATTTTCAGTGCCGAAGTGAAGAACCATTGAAAAGCAGATCGTTTATGACTATCATCATGGAAAAAAGAATAGTGCAGTGCATTGCACAACACGAACGGGGGGTAAACAGAACGCGCAATATTGATTTCTTTTTGCAGTGTGCAGAGGCCTCACTATCGTCCAGATTCGCCATTAACTCTGACGCTATACTGAATGGATTGCATTAAATTTCATCAGAATTTCATAAAGTTCCAATTGGAAAATCAATATTTCTCAACATATGGAAAAAATTAGAGTAATCGCTCACGAAAAACGTCGAGCGGTTCCACAGTTGATCTAACAGCCGAACGCGATGGAAAAGTGGGCTTCCATACTTTTTATTAAGGCGTATTTGGATTTCAATCGAAAAGTATGATAATTACGATCACCCCTGACTTCCCTCTTTCACTGTGACGAATTGGCTGAATGTGCTTTTCGCTGAGTCAGATAAGAAACCTATCTGGGGATAGCAAGCACTTCAGAGATGGAAGCTAAGGTACTTTTTCTGCAAGGAAACATTATACTCGTGCAGTAATAAAAAACTTCAGCAGGAACACCTGGTGAACATCCACGCATTCAGCCACGGTCAATATGATGCCGTCAAATAAAAGTTTGTGCAGCTGCAGACAAAACATCAAGCTTCACGTGATCATGAGACAGACGAGGCTGGCAAACTGCGACAGGTCATGGCGTTGTGGGGAATTTTTGCCGAAGACGACCCACAGAAGTCTTCATGTCATCCCTTTATGGGACTTCTGCACGACATTCTTATTCCTAGCGCTAGCCCGCGCCGTTGGAAGGTCCGCTGTTCTTGTTTGTTATCGCCACCTGATCCGATCTAGCGCATCTTCTGCAGTGGCATTTGCTTCGGTAAGATGCTTCTTGATGAGTCTTTTCTTTGAGGCTCCTCGTGGTCGCTTACCCTGTACTTCGAGTACCAACGCCTTCATTTAGGTGGTGTCCATATCATCGCAGTCGCTGCTCTCGTGCCTTCAGCTGGATCGGAGCCGTCTGTGTGACCGCCCTGACGTCCTCGTTTCTGACTCTGTCGAGTCGTGTCCAGCCGCAGGCCCATCTCAGCATCCTCATTTCAGCTGAGTGGAGCTGCCTTTCATGGTTCTTGCAGATGGGCCAGCACTCGCTGCCGTAGAGCATCGCAGGCCTAACTACTGCCCGCTACACCTTGTCCTTGAACATTTTCGAGCATCACCGGTTGCAGAGGATACCTGTGGACTCCCTACATTCAATCCAGGCTGCACTGGTTCGAGCTTTTACCCCCTGGTCCACATTACCATCAACTGCGATATCGCTCCCCAGGTACTGGAAGTCCTTGATCCCTGCGATGCTTTCGCCGTGGCTGTATACGATGGGTTCGGTACAGTCTTCGAAGCTCAGGAAGTTGATCTTCTTTCAGTCAGAGCTGTTCTCAACGACACATTCTGCCACCTTTGCACCTTGTCCTGAAGTTCTTCTCATGAGGGCAATGTGATCAACGTAGAGGATGGTTTCCAGTGACCGCTCCATAAGTTCCCTTGAAATGATATCCACAGTCAGGGATGTCCACGCGTCAAGATAAGGGGCGATGGGGGGCGGACGGCTCAGTGCTGATCCCTGATGTGATACCAGCTGTGATGTCTACCTTTTCGGTCGAGCTATGTGGGGCGCACAGCTGCCTTGGCCCCTTTAAAATTTCCTTCACTACGGAGACCAGATGTTGTGGGACGTTTCGTTCTCTGAGCGCTCTCCAGAGCACAGGAAAATCAGAAACCTTGGCATGATGTCGAATTAATTTCCATTTCTTTACCAGATTAGGTTAGCATTTTGTTTGGCCTTGACCGTTGCGTCATTACCGTCGACCTGCTCAGCGGCCCAACTTTCTTCCCTTCTCCTCCAAATTTGCTCTCATCGCGGAGGGGGTGGGGCACCATCCGACTTCATGAAGATAGTAAGGTTTGCTGCCTTAATGCCATACTAGGGTGCTGGCCGGTGGGGAGGAACGGCGGAGAAACGAATTAGCGTGCGTCGACGCAGGAATCCAGGGCACATCGTTGTTTGATTCCGAACGACGGCTGGGATCATATTTGGTCGCCGGAAAGGGTGTCGTGTTTGGGCTACGAAATAGAAGTTTGATAGTCTGTTTTTCTTCCGCCTTCACGGCGCCTGTATAAGGGGGGGGGGGTGGTCGTACTTGCTCATTATTGGGAGGGAGGGGGTCTTATTTCTTTTCCAACTTCCTGGGAGAGGCTGCTGACTTTTTGCGATTTTTCTTTCATGTATAGGGCGAACTGCTTCCTCTCCGCCGCTGGACAGCTCGATGGGTAAGGAAGCACATATTGGGTCGGTAGCGTACCAGCCGCTCGTACGCGCCATTTTTCCTCTGGGGGGCTCGTGCGATCCTCGTCCACAATCACTCAACGAATTGCAGTGTGGTGGGGCCCTTGTCGGAGATAATTGCTTAGGACAGCACCTTAGCGTTCCTCGTTTGAGACGGACTTTCGTGCACCAGACAAGTATGTCACCGGAGATGTAGTCGGCCCAACGCGCCGCGATTGGCGCCGCTCTAGTGTAGAGGATCATAATCAACTCGTGCGAGAAAAAACGAGAAGCACTCAGAGCAAACTTTCGTCTGGAATCATTCCAAATACTATTTGAATTCCAGCTGCTTTTACGCTCTTGATTGCTGCAGGCATCGATTACTCTCGCGCGTAAAAATTTTTATTCCGAGCTGCGCGTTCTGGGTGCAGTCCGAGCTGCTCAGTCCGGGTGAAACCGATTCGCGCGGCAGTATCTGAGAGGTGTGCAAGTGTTGACTACCGCAGGTGATACCTTCGAGGATACTGTGATAAGACAGCGTATAAAAGGGATGAGAGTACAAAATGATGTGGTATGTCGTTTTCCTCATGCTTTGATGTGGAGGAAACATGAAGTACTCGCTTTTCCTGCCGTTACTTGTGGTCAGTACAGTCAGGTTGTTCCGAAGTGAAGACTGCAATGTAGATCATAACGAGCATCAAGCTCTGGTGAGTCGTTGGCAATCAAGATTTCCTAGTGAAAATCCTACTTTTTGCAGGTCGAACGGAACATCACTCATTCTCATTGTTTCAAGATCGTTTTCGATACTAAACCCGAAAGCTGTACAATCACGTCATCTGTTGTTGGTTTTTCAAACGCTGAGGAGGTACTGCCAAGGCTCTATCAACTTATTTGCCTAACGCACCCTGTTAGGAGCACTCACTGAAAAGAAGTACAGTCTTGTTCGCTGAGTATGCTGGGCGTGTCACGGGGACTGGCTTTGGTGTGGCGTCTACCCATTCTTCATCAGTGTTGAAGTGACCGAGCGACTATAATTGGTGGAAAACGGCAGGCGCAACCCAGCCTCCTTTACACGCCTCAACATTCGCAGCGATCAACACTATTCGTTGTGGGAGATTAGGTCCTACACACACAGAAGCTGTCCGTTCATGCGTAACTTTTCTCGATCAGCTCAGAAAAAAACACATGTGCACTTATACGAAACCCGCCAAACTAGCCGCTAAGGCAGCGTACAGCTGTAAACCTTCTTGTCCAGCAGTCGTCCCATAGCATCACGTATTCGCTGTCCGCGAAGTACCCTCCCATACCACCGCATGCAGCAGTCAGCCGCTTCAAATGATCCTTCCAAGAAGCTGCTCGTGAAAGCGATGATGATGACATATAGCTGTTAAATTAGACATCATGCATCTAGGATCTAGTTAGCTTTAGCGCGTCATTATCTAATCCTCCATTCTTCTTCTTCTTCTTCTTCTTCTTCTTCTTCTTCTTCTTCTTCTTCTTCTTCTTCTTCTTCTTCTTCTTCTTCTTCTTCTTCTTCTTCTTCTTCTTCTTCTTCTTCTTCTTCTTCTTCTTCTTCTTCTTCTTCTTCTTCTTTTCTTCTTCTTCTTCTTCTTCTTCTTCTTCTTCTTCTTCTTCTTCTTCTTCTTCTTCTTCTTCTTCTTCTTCTTCTTCTTCTTCTTCTTCTTCTTCTTCTTCTTCTTCTTCTTCTTCTTCTTCTTCTTCTTCTTCTTCTTCTTCTTCTTCTTCTTCTTCTTCTTCTTCTTCTTCTTCTTCTTCTTCTTCTTCTTCTTTTCTCTTTCTTCTTCTTCTTCTTCTTCTTCTTCTTCTTCTTCTTCTTCTTCTTCTTCTTCTTCTTCTTCTTCTTCTTCTTCTTCTTCTTCTTCTTCTTCTTCTTCTTCTTCTTCTTCTTCTTCTTCTTCTTCTTCTTCTTCTTCTTCTTCTTCTTCTTCTTCTTCTTCTTCTTCTTCTTCTTCTTCTTCTTCTTCTTCTTCTTCTTCTTCTTCTTCTTCTTCTTCTTCTTCTTCTTCTTCTTCTTCTTCTTCTTTTCTTCTTCTTCTTTTTCTTCTTCTTCTTCTTCTTCTTCTTCTTCTTCTTCTTCTTCTTCTTCTTCTTCTTCTTCTTCTTCTTCTTCTTCTTCTTCTTCTTCTTCTTCTTTTCTTCTTCTTCTTCTTCTTCTTCTTCTTCTTCTTCTTCTTCTTCTTCTTCTTCTTCTTCTTCTTCTTCTTCTTCTCTTTTCTTCTTCTTCTTCTTCTTCTTCTTCTTCTTCTTCTTCTTCTTCTTCTTCTTCTTCTTCTTCTTCTTCTTCTTCTTCTTCTTCTTCTTCTTCTTCTTCTTCTTCTTCTTCAGCGTTTGTCCCGCTCGATCGCGGTCCGCTCTCTTTCGATACAACTGCGCCACTTTCCCGATTAGATGCCTGATCGGGGTGAATGCCGGCTATTTTCAAGTCGGTATGCAACGTGTCGAGCCAGCGCTGTTTGGGACGCCCCTTTGGCCGCTTTCCTGGTACCTCGAGTTCGAGAGCAGTTTTCCGGACAGGTGTCAGCCGCGAAGTACGTGCCCGTACCATGGGAGGCGCGTTTCACGCATTTCCTCCGCCCTAGGGCTTACACATACTTCTGCGCACGACATCGTATACAAATAGAAGGTCTGATCGCGTGACGCAGCAGTCAGAGCGCCAACAAGTCTCATCTCCATCACACCAAGGCGAGCCTCAACTTCTTTGGTCGCGGGCCAGCACTCGGCACCATATAACGCGACAGGTCGGACGACAGTACGATAGATCTTTGACTTGAAACGCTCTGGCATTTTCTTGTCGCAAAGGATAGCATCAGACTATGCGATCCGCCATTTAGACCATGCCGCACTCACTCGTGCGCTCACTTCCGAGTTCAGACTGCTATCGGACGCAAGTGCTGATCCGAGATACTTGAATGTTTCCGTGCGCTTGAGCACCGTGTCATCGATCTTAATGGAACCCGGCTCATTTGGGTCGGTTGTCGGTACTCTGATCGCCACCTGAGCTCCAAACTTCGCAAGGAACGCTCGCACAAGCTTGCCACCTGTTTGTTCCGGCTGCGCTCTTAATCTTCAAAGCAAAGCATCACATCCATCAGCGTAAAAGCAGGTTCAGGCCATTCCTTGTTCTAATATCGGCGCTGAGATGGCATCCATGACGGCAACGAAAAGAAGTGGGGAGAGCGCAGAGCCTTGATGTACCCCGACGGTGATGGGGAACTCCATTGAGACACCCGCTGGTGAGCGAACTTGGCTCCCTGGGCATGAGTAAAGGATGCGCACCCACTCAATGAGCTCTTCGGGCACGCCGTGCCGCCTCAAAGCGTACCATATAACATCCACGCGGCACCCGATCGAATGCCTTCTCCAGGTCTAAGAAGGCTACATGCACGGGCTTTCGCTTCTCACGGTGTTTCTCCAGCAATAGGCGAGCGGCATGTATGGCGTCGACGTGCTACAACCCGCCACGAAGCCACACTGATTGGTGGAAAGCTGGACGATATCACGAACGCGGGCGTCAACAATTCGCTCAAAGACTTTCATAGTGTGCGAGAGAAGGCGAATCGGACGATAGTTCGAGCAATCTGCCGGGCTGCCCTTCTTCTTCCAAATCGGGATCGTCACGCTCTGCTGCCAGTCCTTAGGCACCTTCTTCTCTTCGACGATCTGGTTGAAGAGTTTCGTCAACCAACCCGCAGAAAACCAGCGTTGTGACTTCCACAAATCAGCTGCTATGTCGTCGGGGCCTGTAACTTTGCCGGACTTCATCTTCCTCAGAGCAGCTTCTGTTTCCTGTATGGTGATCTTCTGAACGGGACCATATGTTGGTGCGGTGCAGGGTGTAGCGGGATGGGCGAATTCCACCGCTGAATTAATTATGCCCTCGAAGTATTCACGCCATCGTTGCAATACTTTGCAATACCCTTTTTCGGTCCATCAGAAGGTGGCCATTCTCATCACTTATGCCAAAAAACTTCTCAATGTCTTCGGTTTGGCGATGACGAGATTTGGCAAGTCCGTACAGGTACCGCTCACCGTCGCGCGTCTCCAGCTTCTTGCTGATATCATCGAAGTGAGCGGCCTTCACAGCAGCCACGGCCGCTCTTGCCACCATTCTCGCCTTACGCTGATACTGCCGCCAGTTGTCATCCGACATGTGCTCGAGAAACGCGTGCTAGAGCCTCTTCTTTTCGCGAACCTTCACCTTGACGTCGTCCGTCCAGAACCATGCTCTTCTGTCGATCCTCGCGTCCTTCGGGTGCCGAGTTCGGAGCGGGCGGCCTGGATTATAGAAAACGGCTTCGTTCCAGGTCTCCTGAACAGTTGTGACTTCAGGTAGTCGAATACGAGAAATCACAGCTGCCTCCCGCTCTTTCAGTCGCCACCACTTTTTTCAGGACGATGGCATGTTTAGCCTGTTGCAATCTGAGCCTACAAGTCTGAGCGTGCAGATAAGTGGGCGGTGCTGCGTGGCAACCGTTTCATACGGTACTACCTTAGCGTCTGTCACGAGTCCTTGGTCGCCATGCCTGATGAGTACAAAGTCTATTTGTGTCTTGGTACTCCCGCTGTAGAACGTGATGAGATGGGAGTTCGCGCTCCACGAAACCTTGTGTCAGAATGGGCGAAAAAATATGCGACTCTGCATACCCAAGCACGCGCTCACCATTGGCGTCCCGTGAACCGTCACCGAATCCGCCATGTCAAGCATAGCCGTCTTTTGCAGCGCCCATGTCCGTTTGTCCGTTTAGATCGCCGGCTACAATGATACCGTCTTTTGGTGGCACTTCAGCCGTCTTCTCGTTCACAGAGCCCAGAACTTCTGTCGAGCTGCTCAGAGCCATCCAGTTTTGTGGGGCATATGCAAAGAAGAGAAGTGTAAAGTCGTTGTTCAATAGCGACAACAATCTTCATTAAACGGTCGTCGAAACGATCTACGCTCACAATCGTATCGCGAAATCGCTGTGACACGATCACGGCCACACCACTTGTAGTTTTCGGCTGCGCCACAAAGAGGCTTTTTGACAGCCCGCAGGCCCAACTGTTTCGACTTGCAGCCAGCCAAACTCGTCATCTTGCTGGCAGAGAGGTCTTTCTTTTCTACGCCTCTAGGGCTTCTTTTACGACTAACTCACACCGAGGTCCAGTCAGCGTCCCCACATCCAGCGATGAGCCTTTAACACGTTGGCACGTTTCTTTCGGACTGCCTGTGTTGCCCCCGATGCCAGTCCTTTTGCCAACGAAGACCCTCGCATATGTTTCACCGGTGTCGTCGCCGGGCTTGCGAGTGCGCGTCGGCTTCCCTCGGACACGCGTAGCATTAATCTCGAAATTCCATAAGCATAGGTTGAACTAATGATTTGACATTGGGGGTCTCACGGTGTTCGTAAGCCGGCCCGTCACGAAGGCCTGTCGCCTGCTGTCGGTTTGTCCGTGTTCTGCTCAGCCCGCAAAAGCGAGCAGGTCCCGGTGGCACCACTTGGAGGAACGGACGTCACCACCTGTGTGATGCTAACACTGACAAAGAGGTAGGCAATTTCATTCTGTAATGCGCTGTAACGCCTGCAATTGCAACGGCGCTCCAATCCCATAGCGCTAAAGCAGCCGCAGACAGATTTAGATCGCGGCTGGCACCTCAGTGGTGAGAGCCATCGATATTAGACTGTGCAATTGAACAACGTCCCCCTACCCTCCCCAGTTTGTAGGAGGAGAATCAATGATTTAGCGTCTATAGGATTGAAACGTTGTTGCAATTGTAGCGCGTTACAGTGCATTTACAGGGCGTCAACGCTGCGTCATACGCGAGTCTGGACGCTCCAGATAGCAATAGAGCCCGCGTGTATAGATATTCTGGGTAGTGAAGCATCGCCTCAGATAAAGCTCATTAGCGAGCGCACTCGTACAAGCAGGGGTTTAGCGAAGGGAGTGATGATCACGTGCGGGGATCACGACTGTGGATGACATAACCGGACGAAAGTGTTGCGGTCCACAGTCATGATACCTGCAAACGATGTTAGGGCGCACGGTAAAGGCGGCCCGGCTTAGAGCCATCGCAAACTCGGCGTCGCTTCACATGCCGTATCGTTTCAGGATCGCGACTACACGTATGTTGCAGGCAATTCGGGGGAAACCAGCTGGTCACTTATGGCAACAATGTCGTCACCACATTCGTAGTCGGGAAAGTCTTCTGTTATTAGTTTCGGTTGACGTTGTGCCTCCCACTTTAGCCGGTTGAGACTTTACCCCTACGCCTAACTGAGGGGCAGCGTGAAAAAATATCGCCTCTCAAAAGCTGCGCCTCTTACTGCCGACTGAACCCTCACCTTGCCGACCTCACCTTCTACGATGAACATGCCAACCTTACGTAGCAGGCTACCGCAGTGCGCGGCCTGTCTAGACAACAGACCAGTGCTCTCGCGCTCACAGCT